CTGATGACTATACGATCATGAAATCAGCTTTCTTCTTGCTAGAGTATTTATATCTATATACATGAACGAAGCAGAAGTATGTCAAACATTAGGAGCCAATGGAACAAAAGTATAAATTTGTGTAAATTCGACAGTTGGTTGACGTGTACGAGTGGGGGCGCTCACCCCGCGCGTCGCCTGCTGCTGACGCAGATAGCGGCGGGCGGCGCGCTGGACGCGGCGGCCGCGCGGGCGCACGCCATGCGCGACGCCTTCGCCTTGCCGCCCTGCTCCTGCGGGGCCTCCGCCGCGCCCGCGCCCGCCTTGCGCGCCGCCGCCAGGAGGCTCCTGCATCGCGCTCTGCAAAAGGTTTGTTACTTACCATACCATATTTTCCCGAAAGAGTAATGCTAGAATCGTTTTAGTTAGATTTTCTACTCATTCTTTTCTACATCAGCCAATGGACGCATGTTGAGAATGCATGTGCAAACTCTGCACTTGTTATGTAACCAACCAGACTTGATTTCATATTTCAAGTAAATGTTTTCTTTTACAGAATGTTAAGAAAGAAGAGGTCAAAGAAGAGCCAGCTGCCAACGGCTCGTCGCCAGTCAAGTCTGAGAACGGCAAGACTGGCAGCTCTGTCGTTAGTTGGCTGTCCGACATACCGCTCAAGACTGAAGCTGAAGAAGAGAAATCGGAGTCCAGCTCGTCTGACTCCGAGGAAGGAGGCAATTTCTCAACGTTACGGGAACTGCTCATCCGGCCAGCGCCCGAGGGTGGTGAGACTCAGCCTAAGAAAAAGCAGAAGAAAAGTAAAAGCGACATTCTCGATGACGTCATCTCCAGCGTTGTAGACGAAAAGAAAGATGAAGATGAAGAATCGAAACCGTTTGCGCTATCTAACGTAGTGAAGCGGTACGACAGGAGCGGACGAGGTCGCGAGGAGCTCCCCATCCGTATAATGACGCTGACAGAGTCCAAGCTGCTGTACCCCGACGTGCCGCATGCCTGGCTCTGTGACGGGAAACTGCTGCATCTCACAGACCCCATGCACGCCGGCAATTATAAACCGTTCCAGGTAAATAGATGTGGCCATTTAAATAACTTAAATATTAACCATAAATAAAATAAAAAAGTTGGCAAATATTTTTTTACACATTAATAATGTGTTTTGTTTGTTATTGTTGCAGGACCAGTGGAAACGTGGCCAACCAGTTCTAGTCTCAGACGTATCGACCATTCTCGATAAAGACTTATGGAGTCCTGAGAGTTTCTCTCGGGACTTCGGTGAAACGAGAGTTGATTTGGTTAATTGTGCGTCCGGTTTAGTGGTGCCGTATCAACTGGGCAGAAAATTCTGGGACGGGTTCGATCTAGCCGCCAAGAGGCTGCGAGACGAACGCGGCGCTCCAATGGTGCTCAAATTAAAAGACTGGCCACCGGGCGAAGACTTTGCGGAGCTTCTGCCCGCACGTTTCGACGATCTCATGCGAGCGTTACCACTCAGCGAATACACATCGCGCACAGGAAAACTCAATCTGGCCGCGCGGCTACCTGAATGTTTCGTGCGACCGGACCTCGGGCCCAAGATGTACACGGCGTACGGCGGCGCGGGCGGCACCACCAACCTGCACCTCGACGTCAGCGACGCCGTCAACGTCATGGTGCACGCGAGCGCCCCCGCCGACGCGCCCGAGCGAGCGCGCGAGGCGGCGCGGGCCGCGGAGGAGGCCGGCGTCGACGTCCTGTCCCGCCGCCGCGCGCGGCTCAAGCCTCCCGCGGCGCTGTGGCACATCTACGCCGCGAAGGACGCGGACAAGATCCGAGACTTCCTCGTACGCGCCGAGCTTGAGCGCGGCGCGCGGCCCCGGCCGCAGCACGACCCGGTGCACGACCAGACCTGGTACCTGGACGCCGCCCTGCGCGAGCGCCTATACCGCGAGTACGGAGTGGAGGGCTACGCGATCCTGCAATGCCCCGGAGACGCTGTCTTCATTCCGGCCGGAGCGCCGCATCAAGTGAGGAACTTGCTGGACTGCATCAAAGTGGCCGAGGACTTCGTCTCACCCGAGAACGTGTCGCGGTGTTTCGAGCTCGCGCAGCAGTTCAGGCGGTTGTCTCGCCAGCATTCTAACAAAGAAGATAAGCTACAGATAAAGAATATCGTGTACCACGCGGTAAAGGATTCTCTGTGCTGCCTGGAGGAGGCGCTCGCCGAAGCCAAGTGAAGACGAGCGGGCCTCCCGCATTTGATCTCAACCTCGAACGTAACATTAATTGCTAAGTTCCGCATTTAAACGTAAGATTGGGAGCGAGTATGATACGCGCTGTGCGCCGTTTCGTGTATAAGATGCCATTATTAAGCGTCCGAGTCGATTGTGTACCAGTTATGTGTGTAAGTGTACTCGAAATGTGATTTAGTCCGACGGTCGCGATCGGAGTATGTGCAATGTAAATTAGTCTGATTATGGTGATATCGTTGAGATGTGGATATGTTTTATGTTCCTTAATTGAAATACAAATAAAACTCTTCAGGTTATTTACAGCTTAATTGTAGCTATAGTGATATGTATGTATTGTGTAAATTTTAATTCGAATTCCATCGAGTACATATTAAGAATTGTATACTTTTAAGTTATTGTATTGAAGTAAAACAAACGTATTCGCTCGAAGCATTGTACATTACAACACGGCATGTAGATAAGTTTATCCTATTACTAGATTTCTCAATTTGGTTATGTTACAAAATGATAGTTAACAAAGTATGTGACAATTTCTTTTTGTCCTTATTGCTGTATTAGGAAGTTTTTTTTTGTACTGTGTATATTATGTATGGTTATAAGTTGGAATAAAAAAAAAGATGTTTATATGAAAAGGTTGTTTTATTATTTCGAATCAAAGGTTACCCGGGCTACCTCAACTGCAAATTGGCCAAAATTAAGATAAACAGGCAAAAAACATAGATAATAAATCAGCGTGTATTTCTCACTGTCTGTGAGAAATACACACTATAGTGAAAATGAAGGCTTCGTGCTGTTTATAAATTACGCACGATATTTGTAGGGCAGGCAAATAAGCAAGGTTTATTTGGCTATATGGACCGCACGCCACTGGAGAATGTTAGTGGGAGTAGTCATTATAATTATTATTGTTGTTCAAACGCATGTTCAACTAGCTTTTCGTAGTTACGTAATAAAATCAATTGTGTATCCCCTTACCACATTCGCCTGGGATTAATTAGTTTTTTAACGTAGGTGTAGGTATCTATTTCCTAGCTATACGTAAAAGGTTGTAATATTTACCACAATTATAGTAACAGCGCCATCTAGGTTACGAAACGATACTTACATACATTGAACACCCGTCTCGCTACTCTCCAATAGATGTCGCTATTACGAGTACAATTATTGCGATCACACTTTTCTTCAATATTTTGTTTACAAATTGTTATCTATTATAAGTTCAAATATGTTGCAAGTTTAGTTGATAGTGTTCTTTTATAAAAAAAATATGTTTACAGATATTTCCCAAGTTTAAAATATTATTAAACAATAGGCAGGTAGTGAATTATTGTTAAGTTTTTTCCTTCATAACTTATATTTAACAGGATAATGTACAAAAAACTAACAATTTCGTCGAATTACATAAATTACTGCTAAGCGGAAGAATGGCTCAAGACCACCACAGTTTGTGAGTAGGAAGAATATCAGACTACAACAAATTAGACTTGAAGGGTTCATAAACGCGATGAGAGAATAAAGTACCGACCGGAATCTTAAGGCCATATCTATTTCTTTTTGTTTTACGTTTTTTTTTAATTGTTACTTTTGTGAGACATACTTAATTTAGTGAAAAGAACGACTTATAATCAGAATTTTAATTCGACGCCAGATTTGAGATTTCATTTTGTTAAATAATGATACCACATATAACAGTGTAGTGATGAACACAAAAATCGATAAACTATTGGTAAATTAGTTACAGGAAGGCATTCAAAAAATTACGGCTACAGAATGGTCTAAAAGCATACGCATTTACGCATTCATATGTTAATTTACAATAAATGTCACAGACACAATTCGTTCCAATTTAAAATTAAGAAAAAAATAACAGCATACCTATCGATGAACAAATATACCAATAGCTGAATAGAATTTATAGGTTCGTTTATAAAGAGACTGTATATAACGGTTTCTGCAATAAATCTTGCTACTGTTATCGATTGTAATAATATAAAATAATTGAGTCCCGCTACTGGTTTAATAACAAGCCGTTCTTTGTCACTGTACAGTCTAACTAGCTTTGATTAAAACGGTTTCTAAGATTAGGTACTATTAATATGTCTAGCGTTTATTCAGAATTTTCGTATTATTGCTTGTTTTATTAAAAATTAAAAGCATGCCAATAATATCTGTTTTTAAAGAAGCCGGTGTGTCCTTATGGGCTGTTGATACTGGTATTGGTGGGGTAAAATCCCACTATGCTTAGTGATCCTCCCAAAATTTTTGAGCTTGAAGTAAGACAAAGTATTTTACTTTGGGAAGGTATCTACAAGATATTTCTAATCCTTTTTATACATACATATATGTATGCTATCCGACGACTTATTGTGGAGAGCTAAACCTGAAGTAAAGGTACCATTGTGGAAGTAAAGTTTGATGTATTGTTAACATGTATTGCAAAAATAAATATAGCTTGTGACTGTGTACATAGTTATTGCAACCTACACGAATATAATTACCTAGCCACTGTGGGTGTAAGTACCTACAGTGTATCACAAACAAGTTTGAAGATTAAATCACACCATTCAATAAAAAATAACTGTCTCTGAACAATGAACTACTAGCGTTAAAACCAACATATTCCAGTCTCGTAGATGAAGTCAGAACTCATAAAACGCTGTACATAGCCGGTTTTAACCGACTAATGGGCGAAGTTATCTAGAATATGAAGTAATGGACATGGAACGTAGGATTTGCATCAATCACGGTCGTTGGGGCGCCCCACTAAGTTGATATAAAGCGGATTGGCTCGCCCTCTCGCCTGTCAGTTATTCGCATCTTGTCGTCAAACACAGATTCGTGTGAAACAACAATGAAGGCAGCTACTTTGTTTGTTTTTGGTGAGTTTTATTTGTTTTTTTTTTTACAGTAAACATTAATTTCATTACGTAGATTGGACACAACTTTAAAAGTAATAAAATCAAAAACGTACAGCTCACTTAGGTACATTATTATTATTACATAGTTTATCATTCATATCAACTTTTTGCTGGAAACTTTGTGTTTGCAATTATTTTTTTCGATTAGGTACAGAATCGTGAACTGGTTTTATATTGTTTGAATATGGAAGCAATGTTTTTATGTATTAGAGAGGTCTTCCAAGAATTGTATGTGTAAATATTGTTGATGTAGAAGGCTGCATCTAATTAGGATCGAGGGAAAACCGGCGTTAACTTGACAAGATATTATAAACTTAATACTCCAAATATGTTAGGTTTATTTTTGATTACACGTTGATCACTAGGGTTTATTGAACTAATAATATTCGTTGGCGACAATATGTTTTCGGCAAAGTGCTGTTTAACAGGCGTGATGTTTATTATACGTAGTATTTTATAATTGCTTACATTTCTGTCAATTTGGTTCAAATACGGTCATCACAAGTACATAAGTAAAGATAAGTGAATAACGAAAACGACAATAACGAACTTTTTATTTATCTTTAGGTTTCAAAAAACGTGTCATCTTTAATATTAGAATAATTTAAACCACTCCTTTTTAGTTTATACCTAATCACTGTTTAAAACATCACAACATTAGTAGATAAGTACCTGTGATCCTCTAAAACTCATAGTTTTAACTTCAACATGATAAACTTTAATATCCAAGAAATAACAATTAAAATACTTACGTTCGACACAATTTAATAAAGGAATTCATTAACGTATGTACGTCCATATTGTACATTTGGCGCGCCGCGATTTCCAATTTTGAATTTATGTTCCCAGCAGGAACACCTTTGTGTTATTCAGAAATTGTCCCTAGTCTAGGTGTGATGTGTATGTTCATAAACGCACTGACGCAACACTGTGTGATCCAGACATTGTTGTCCCGGGTCTGGGTGTGATATGTATGTGAAATTGTATGTCTGTAAATGCACCGAGGAAACAGATCAAAATAGGCTAGGCCAACGATTTATATATAAAAATATACTTAAGGCTAAGTAGTCCTAATCCAGGTCCTGCGTCATTCAAAAACTAGTTGTCATTGGTCCAAAGTGGTCCCTCTTCCTGTCATTACCTAGATGACCATTTGACGACCTAAATGGCTTGGTTAAGGTCAGCGGCGTCTGCGCATGATCCTTTAACTAGATTACAAGATGAGCTCTAAATATTTCAGTTTTTAAGTGAGTTTTATAATTTTAGAGACTTGTTTTATTAAAATAAATTTTCTTGTAGGGTTATTGTTAGTAAACAAAATACATAATAATATGTACATAAAAAAATCATAGCACTTTGGGTAAATTAACTCAATACCACCGAAATCTGCCCGTTACAGCTTTTGCAGTATCTATTACAATGTGAAGTCGAAAATCATAAATTAACGTCATAAAAAATAAAATTTAAAGTTTATTAAAACGTCAGAGATAGGTACGGTAAGAAAGTTTTCCTTAGGTATCACAAGTTTTTACTATTAATGTTATTATTCTAATTAAGAGATTGGTGGAAAGGGCTGGGAGAACTTTAAAATGAGCTCTTTACCCATTCGTTATCGAGCTGAAGCTCGAATGACGCTTCGGCAGATAATCAATGTCAGACAGACAGACACAATTACTTCCAGAGCTTGCAACTACGCGCTCCTGCTGTAAATTGAGCAGTTTCCGAGTCAACAGGGTTTTCTCTCTTTTTAAATGCAACGGTTTATTAAAATATGGAAGTTTTTATATCCAAATTATTTAATAAATAAAATTCCAATTATTGATTTGACGATATAAATAATTTAAATTATTATCTAGCTAATCTTACATGAAGTAAATATGCCATTTATCCTAAAATCATTATGACGTCATAAAAGTTTTTCTTTTTGTGAGGAGATAATCATCAAATGGCTCTCGGTGAGAGTCAGACTCTTACTTGACTAAAAACCCCCCTGTTCCTTCTCCTGTTCTGGCGCCATATATGTAAGTTGCAGTGCAAAATTGAAATAAAAGAATAAGTTTGAAATTTCAATAAAAGTATTGATTTTGAAATAGGCTGAAACCTATATTCTTTATGGTGTTATGCAGTTGCAATTATTACGCATTTGACAAATGAGGTCATAGAGGCAGGAAATATACAAATACTGTAATGAATCTTAATTCAAGTAATGACTCACCATGTAGGTCTAATTTTTTGCTAGAATATTCGTGTGAGCATAAAGTGTTTGCAATTATTTTTTGTCTGATGTTATGAGGTATGTGGTAATGAAATTATATATTCAGTCTTACATCCTTCTACGAAATGTTAATTAACAACAATTTTTGTGTTTGCTAAGATAATGGCGGAGGTTTTGCAATTATTTTTCGAGAAGTTCAATATGTGTTTAGTAAAATTTATTTGGTTAATGGATTTTTATTGATTTAATTGGATATTTCATCATCATGTTTGTAGCAGTCGGTACCAATCTAAAATCAACCTTAAAGTTCTTAAGTTGTTTCATTTATTTTGGTTTTAAAGTAAAACATTAGATATTTATTCTATGTGCATCAAGATCAAAAAAGAAATTATGCATTCATAGTTTATTACCTCTTTTAATTAATTAAACAACCAATTTCTATTTAATAAATAGCAAATAATTTAAAAAGATTATTACTCCCGTTCATTACGCATAATCATTCAGCGAGTGTAATGAATTAATAACAAACCAGTTCATTGACCTTCCAATCAAAACACAATTTTAGAGTCAAAGCATTTATTTATATAAAACCAAATTCAGAGCAAAATAAATCAAAATAAATATATGCCTAAGTGAAGTTCAAATAAGGTCCTAACATTCTGGAAACCATGTTCCAGCTCTGGTGATAGTGGCGGTGTCCTGTCGTCCAGACAAGCCTGACCTCAAGCAAGTCAAGGCGGAGGCTGCTCGCAAGAAGGCTTGCATGCACGACTGCAGCTCAGTCGCTCTGGACCCCATCTGCGCTGGCAAGACTGGCGAGAAACCCAAGTCTTTCGGCAATGAGTGTGTCATGAACAACTACAACTGTGAACACCATGACAGTAAGTAACTTTTTCATTGAGAATAAAAATAACGAAGTAAAAGAAGGTATTTATTTCAATGAATAAACTTTGAAAGTCATAGACTACAGCAAAAAGTTTGAGAATAACGTATTATACAAAATTGTTCCAATAATACCTCTTTATATAATACCTCTTTACCTTTTAAGCACTAATCACAGTCCAAAGAGGTTTGATTGCCTATTAAAATGTATGGCTGATTTATTCATGAAATACTTACCACTTTTTTATAAATACCTGGCTTAATATACCTACGAATAATTATAGTACCGGTACCTCTAAAAGAAGAAATATGTGTACTTATTATATAATTTGAAATAATATGGTAAAAACAAAAAACATCAACAAAATACGACAATGTTTATTTTGACATCTGCACAACATAATAATATGCAGCTTCGTTACATAAATATTGCATAATAAGAGAAATCCTACTTACCCTTTTTTGGACGAAAACATAAATGGCAATTATATAAATCTTTTATTTATTTACGGTCAATAAAGGATTTTTAAGGTTTATACACGAAGAATTACCCTTAAGGAAACTTGTTGGCTAATAAAATGATATCATGGCTAGCATACATGTACATATACAATATAGTATAATAGAATTATGTAACTTTACTCACGATGGTAAAATATTTGATTTCAAAAGTCTAATATAGGGCAAAATGTCGTCGAACTACATTAACTATACCTAACCCATTTTAAGTCTGCAAAAAAGACCATTGTCTGGGTTGACAAATTACATTATCGATTTTGCGTCGTAATCAAAATGTTTCCTCATTCAAGGCTTATTCAATGGGAAAGTACAATAACAAAAACATGGTCATATTCATCACAAAAAAAAAACAGTGTCGATGGAGCATGATTTTGCGTAACTCTTTTGAAGTCTTTTGTGATTCGGGTAAACCCCATAACTAATAGCGTACTGTCACTGATTATTAAGTTCAAAAAAAGAACAGCGAAATTAGTTTTAAAACTTTATAAATTTAATTCATATATTTCGACGTCGAAAAAATAAGTCTGTCTTAGAAGAAATCTTTTCTTAAACATATTGTAAATAATTTTTATTGTTGTGTTTCATTGAGACTACAAATATATTTTTTAAAATTCTACGTTTGTTACTAATGGCAACAATAGTGAATTATTCTTTTTGAGAATGATTCAGGTTATTCTCAAAATCAATAATTCTCAAAATTCTCAAAGAGAAGTATGGGAGAGCTATGCTTCGGCACGAATGGGTCGGCTCGACCGGAGCAATACCACGACCTCACAGAAAACCGGCGTGAAACAACCACAGTATTGTGTTTCGCCGTGTGAGTGAGGTTACCGGAGGCCCAATCCTTCCCCTTCTCCAATCCCTCCGCAGTTCCTAAATCTCCAAATCCCTAATCCCTAAAAGGTCGGCAACGCAGTCGTAACTCCTTCGTAGCGGATGTCAATGGGAGGTGCTAATTGCTTACCATCAGGTAATGCGCCTGCTCGTTTGAAGACCTCTTACTTAAAAAAAAACATGAGGCCCGTCAAGTATCGAATAAAAACTAAACAAATTTATTGTAGGTACACTATACATAAAACAACATAATGATTTATGTGCGCTATAAAATAGTTTACAACAGAGCCTAAATAAACCTGTAGCCAGCAGGGCGTGACGCGTCATGTAACCGTGGTAATGGCGACCATTGTGCTGACCGGAATGTGACTCACTTCTTTATGTCATAACATAACAAGGTTTAAAACCACAGATAGCTTAGTGCGTGTTTACGTTACCACGATTTCCCTTAGACCATCACAGATGGCGCTCAATAGCGCCAGTGTTTAATTCGGGTTGTGGATGCAAGCAATTTAATGTGGCCTCGGCCCGGAGCAGAAGCCACGTTTGGTTTTTAGTCATTAATAGTCTGATTCTCCTTGTCACACCAGGACGAGAAAAGAATTAAAAAAAATGCAATTCCGTCACTTATTCATTTCTTGAATCAACTATTTATTAAAACCACTCTAAAATTAGATTTTTAAATATTAGGTACTATAAAATAAAATAATATAATATTTAAAAATATAAAAGTAAGAGCCAGCCGGCAGCGTGAGCAAGGTCCAAGCCGCCGGTGGTTAGGGCTCTAGAGACAGGAACCAGTATGAGGCCCTTGATCCATCCGCCTAACGTCAGCCTCTTAAGGTGGTGAATCAACTTCTTTTATTAAAGAGGTTTATACAATTCTTCTTTTATTAAATGCGTCAATGTGCTAAAACTTATATTAATGTAGATTTGATGCATTTATCCTCATATGCTATCATTAGGTATACCTGGAAACAAGGGGCAATGAACTTGATTGAACCAGTTTTGTAAATGGCAAACAAGTTAGATGCTATTCTACTAATCAAAATATACGAACTTAGTTTTGAGCACATCATAATTATAAAAGACGCAGACCCCTTGACATGTTTACCTATATTGCTTTACAGTTTTGGATTTTAGCCTTAAACTGGTAGAAATATAAATTAGTTTAGAATAAAAAGTTTTCATGTTACTAATTAACTGAATTCTTAGATTGCTCCGAGTAGTAATAACAGTTCAAGAATAGATTGTCTTATTTGTTGAAAATATAACATTTTTATTGTATTTTCGTTTCTGTAACATATTTTTGTTTTATTTTCCAGCTCTTCACAAGATCAGCAAGGGTGAGTGTGCCGGTTCTGACGGTATCCGTCTGTCTTAAACCAAAAACAACGCCGAGGAGGAAATCAACCGCTTTCCATGACTGCATTTTATAAAAAAAGTATTTGTTTTTAATTGTCAATGCTTATCGACTAACATCAAAGAAGCTGTGATTAAAATAAGCGTCTAGCAATGTACTCTCAAATATAATGTGTGTTTTAATTTTTTTAATTGGCGTATTAATAAAACTATTTAAGTTTTGTTAATAATCGTTGTTTTTTTTACTTGACCCCCCGTAATTTATCAGTGTTTAATTAAATTTTCTTAGAAAAGACCATCTGGTAAAGAGAAGACGCCTTTCCTCTCCATTAGATGATGATGATGATGATGATGGTAATTAATGAATTATACGTATTTGCTACAGTAATAATAATAAGATAAAATAAATAATACCAATCGCTAAAATAATGAATAATAAAGAATAATAATCCTGTCAATAATTATAGTGACGATTGAGAATTTGAAAATGGAATATCTATGGTTGAACAATATTAGACAAGTGTAATGTGTAAAATGAGATTTAGTTCATTTGTTTTTTAGGTCAAAGACTTAGAGACCTTTATACTTTTTCTACACGACAGAACTTAAAGATTGAATTGGGTTCTCGAGCTATTACGTATTTTATTTATTACCAACGTACATCTATAAGCTATCCTTTGTAACTATGTAGTGTACAATGAAGTATGTAATAAATAAAACTATTATCACAGGAATTTTCTTAATACAATAGTGTAGTAACATTACAAAGAAATACAGAACAAAAAAAATCTAATACAATTATATGTAATGTATATACATTATAGTTATATGTCTATACTATATAGTTATATGTCTTTTATTATTTTTTCAATTATCTTATTTAAAATTACTACTTATATGTATAACTGAGTTGTAGAATGTTTATCTGTTTGTTTGCTTGAACGGCCTAATCTCCAGAACTACTGGTCGGAATTAACCAATTCTCACTGTGTTGATTAGTCCGTTCTTCGAGGAAACCTATAGACTAAAAACATTACGCATCGACGTACAGGAGCCGAGCAGCGCATGAGAGAAAGAAACTCACGGGAATAGCGACTATAATTATAAGAAACCAACTAGTAATAGTAATGACGAGCTCTTCAAAAACTGTGTCCCATATCATCCTCATTTCCTTTTCACGTGGAAGACGCCTTTGAGTTAGTGAAGTGCTCGCTTGAGCTTAACGCCAGCTTCTTTATGTCATACAAACTTTAGGAACTAGCTCTGTTAAAAAAAACACTGCGTTCTGAATTTTACTTTCTTAAGTTCTTTAGATTGTCTTACTATTTCTTCTAGGTAGGTAATCCATTTTTCACATTTATTCATGAAAGACAAGTTGATTAGAAAGAAGTAACAAAAGAAAGTGCCTATTTAAAATAAAAATATAGGTACTTAAATATGTTGTTTTGAATTTTTCATTAATTTTATGTTTTATTATTTCACTCCAATTTGACAACTACTTCTATAATTTTGAAGCTAGCTAGCGTGCCAATATATTCATTTATTTTATTCCTTATAAATCCTTTTGGTTTTATCAGCAAAATATTGTACTCTTTATCTTATCCTTAGCAAGCCCCTGTTGAAAATGTAATTCTGGTAGATAGGCGTAAAACGTATTATTGCTTTTTTAATTTTGAAGGCTCTTAATTCGTTTACGAGTGTCGGTCAATGAGCGATATTACTGATACAAGTCACTTCTAGTCGGATGACCTGTTACCAAATTATTAGCGAACCCATTAGGAATTGGCTGATATTATGAAGTTGATTGGGAATAAAAATTTTCTTTACAAGACCATTTTTGAGTCAGTTTATAAAAATGTAATTACAAATTCATATCATACTTATACCCAGAAAAAAATACCAATCTAATTACTCTGCAAAAACACAAACTATCGACGCAATGCAGTCACATGACATTACGCGTACCAAAGATATAAACATCTAATACCATCTAGATAGCGCACTATGTTTGTTATCCAGGATTATCGCATATTTACTTCACTTCTGACATTACCTAGATCTGGGGTCAATAGGGCGGGTGTGGCCTACATGTCGTGACATAGACTGCTTGTCGCCTATGGATGTTTGTAGAACAAGTCAGTCACGTTTTTATGGTAAAGTTGTATCACTTTTTAGTACTAGCGGCTCGTCCGTATAAATATAGTGTATATTACTCAGGGTAAACGTAGGTTTGCAATGTTGAAAGATTTTTTAAAATTGGCTATGTAGTTTAAAATAAAAATAGATCGTGGCAATATTTCAAGCAAGTTCGGAATGCTGTTCTCATCTTTGGGTGGGGGCACCCCAGTACCAGCTTCTCCCTCTGGACCGCATTCAACGACGAACTGTCCGATTCGTTGACTGCCCTGTTGTCTCGGACCGGCTGGACTCTTTGACACTGCGTAGGGATGTAGCCTCGCTTTGTATCTATCGCCTTTATCACGGGGAGTGTTCTGAGGAATTGTTCGGTTTGATCCCCGCCACATCTTTTCGCTATCGTTCCACGCGAAGACATGTTCATCCCCATCACATAGATGGTTGGCAGTCAACAACTGTGTGATTCTCGTACAACTTTCTGCCCCGCACAGCAAAGCTTTAGAATGACCTTCTGGCGTCGGTATTCCCGAACCGATACGACCTTCAAACCTTCAAGAAACGAGCGTACTCCTTCTTAAAAGGCCGGCAACGCACTTGTGACTCCTCTGGTGTTGCAGGTGTCGATGGGCGGCGCCGATCGCTTACAATCAGGTGATCCGACAGCTCGTTTGCCTCCTCCTACAGAAAAAAAAATTTTCACCTTTAGAATGTTATCGGGGTAGATGAAGACCTGTCATTTTTTGTTAAAAATAATTATAAAATAGCCGTGCTTTTTGATACCCGAATGGGGATGGGACAAGCGCGCCACAACCTCCTAAAACCACTGCAACTCCTGTAAGCCAGAATCTATGGTAGATACAACCACGAAAACACCGGAACACCGAAAGCTCAGGCACATGAATGACTGTCTTGGATCCCGCGACGAAATCAAGAAAAAACTAAATAGATCAAATGGGCCGGTGCTAATTTTTTACCATGTAACCGGTATAAGTCCCATGTGGGTGCGAGACCATTACTATACTCCGGGCACAATACCTAGTCACAAACTACGTGTACCTATTTACTTTGTTATTGAGATTTGTTTCTCTTAAGGCGAGTGTGTGTGTCTCTTTTATTTAGTTGTTAACTGTACTGCCAGTGTTATTGAGATATTTTAACCTCCAGCGGTATCGGGTCCTCTTCAGCGTAATGTTTCTGTATTAATGCTTATTATATTTAAAAGCTATTGGACGGAATTTTGTAACCCTATAGTCTGATCCCTGAGGGAACTCATCAAATGACTTCTTCTCTTGCTCTGGGTAGGGCGAGAGGTAGTGTCAATACTCTTATTGACTACAATCTATCACATTCCTTCTCCTACTCCAGGCCATGCCCTCCAGGGATGCGGCACATTATTTTATTACGCTTGCAAGCGCAACCCTGGCTAGGCCGTTAAATATTTACGTAGGTTTGGATAAATCCATTTGCATATGTAATATACACATACATATATATTATATTATGTAGGTACACATAGTGTAGTAAGAAAAATGCCATATTCAGTACGTTGTAAAATCTTTATTGAAGCTAAATTTTGTCTATGATGACATTGTTGCAACTGACTTACTGGCCAGTCTAAAACAGTCGAAGCAATCCGTACTTTGTACAAAATAAATAAAAAAAATATATTGACTTACACAATAACCTTACAAATACGAAAATTACTAAATAAAGTATTTTATTTTATTTTATTTGAACATGACTTTGGCATTAACTTTAAAACTACTTACATACTAAATTTCTTAAGATATTTAGGTTAAAATTTTGAATTTTTAGGAACTTTTCGACCAAAGTCTTCGTACTAAAACACAGTACCGAATGAATATCTCCAAAATTGTTGTTGTTGGTTGATGGCCTTTGCAGATATATTTTTATATTTTTCAAAACATTGCTGAAAATCTCTACTGACATAGTTGTATGGGTGACAACATACTTTTAATTATATTATTATCATCGTCATCAGGACATATAGATGTATCTAACGCTAATAGATATTTCTTGTAAACAGACAGAGAGAGAGAGAGAGTTTCATCAGCGACCCTCCAATTCCATCATCGAACTAACTCAATGGTACCATTTTATGTAGGTATTGTGTAGGTAGTCATCCGCCTATAATTGTATTTTTTTCTCGTCACCACGAATTGTGTTTGTAGTCGGATTGTTGCATTTTTATTTGGTCAAGTGGGCAAAACTTTGAAGCAACGCTCGGAAAGCCCAAACCATAACATTGAATAAGAATAAAAATAAGAATTTACAAGTGGTTGTCCATTTAAGGTCTTAGTTTAAACTGTATCGCGTTTTATCTATTGAAGTATCTTAATAATGTGATTTGAACACCGTGATTAAAATTAATATAAGCAATATTTTATGTATCTTTGCATTCTTTAGCAATGTATTATATTATATATATTATGTTTCTTTAGCAATGTATCTTTGTTTAATTAAATTTGGCCATCAAAGATATCGTACCAACTTCTGTAGGCATATTAGACTAAATTAGAATAATATTATTACAAGAACAGTATTTTAGGGCGTAAGCATACTACCTGTATACCTTAAATTGTTACGTCACATTTATCAATATTAATAAAGTATAGTTCGTTCAATTACGACCGTTTTCAATAACCTAACTTCATATTAGGTAAGTGGTAATTTTGCTGACAGGAGGCAGAATTATGGCACTTTGAATGGTTTAAAATCTTTATATATCTAATAAGCAAAACTACAAATATAAAAATGGTAATTGAAAACGATCGTTAAGTAATAAGTTGAAAATATTCGGCATCAAGAAAATTTAAACCAAAAAGGGTTCAAAATATAAGCTTCAATACAACATTGTAAGTACATCCTAGCTAAGTTAGCGATTTTGAGCTTATGCTTTCTATATACATACATTACGTTTTTGAATCAAAAAACAGGTACATACTAAATATATTGTTATCATTATCATAACAGTTTATCCAACTCAAAACAGTATTTCAAAGTGATTTTTTCCCGCTAAAAACAATCGACGGTAGCCATCTTGGAAATGAGTCGAATGACAGCTGACATTTGAGTTGACAATTGCTGGTGTATACAGTTGACACTGTGGCATTTAAGACCGTTTCAATTTGTTATTGAGGTCAACGTTGACGTCATTTTATTTTAGTAACAGGTTTTTGACGATATCGATTTAAATGAAGAACTAATATTTTATGGATGGCGCGAAGAGGGACAAATTGTGACGTCATATTGTCGTGTTTACTACTGTCTTGGGATAGTTATACTGTGCTAATTACACTTAATACATATAGATGAACATTAATATAGCGACCGTCCTCAGGCTGTGCGGTACGTAATGCTTACACTTATGTGAGAACCAATGCACTTCGCGTGTTCTGTCGCCGCATCAGCATTCACCGAGACTCGTGATGGCGTAATCTGGAATGAAAGAAATGGTGGTCATAATTTAGATGTGAAGTAAAGCTTTTTACGCTGTTAGTCGCGTGAACAATAAATACTTTTGTGATCCACTAGGAATATTTTGGTCCTGACAATATTCTTTTGGAAGCGCAGGGGCCACTTCAGTTGTAAGAGATGTGTAGAAACATCACTGAATTTACGAAGGTTGACGACAAACCGAATTCAGTTACCTATAAGTCGTTAGTCAAGTTATTGAGAAGATATGCTTCAGGCTTTTGCTAGATCATCTTTGACCCATTTCGAGAATGATTGGATAAATAAGGCTGATTTTGGTTTCAAAATAATTTACGAATTTCGCGAGCTTAATGAAAACCATGTTAAATATAAAGTTAATATTCTAAGTAACTTACACGTGCTTTCACGACATGACACCTCTTCTAATTCACACAGCGTTTCAAACGTCCGAGCAGTTCCCGTAGCATCGAAAGCACACACTGGCCCTGCTGGTGGAGACGCACATCTGCCAGCACAGAGAGGAGGAGGGACTCCCTCCCTCACTCTTGCCCTCATCAGCTCAGCCGGCGCCCTCATGTCAGGAGCCTCCCCGATTTCATTTGCGTCACCGATGCGGGATGGCAGGAACGGGACGCTTGCTGGTTGTACTTCGTTCCATGCTAGAAATATTAGAGTTTTGGATAAGTATCTGATTCATAATAAGTTGGATGTTAGTGCAAATTTACGTGGCATTTGCAATGGTTGTTGCAGGAATTATTCTTATTATTTATCATCTATCTTTTATTAAAAGTTCGTTTTAATAAATGTAACTAACTACAAAACAATGTTTGAATCAAGTAGGAATGAACATGAGTTAAAAAAGATAATCATTTATCAATAAATAACGGTAAAATACGGTTAACGTTAGGTTAAACAACGAAGACATAAACAATGACTAAATAAAACTATGACATAATGTGACCCGCAACCAAACAAACGCAAATCTCCATCAAAACAAAGCGCGCGCGCCGCTCAACTCATTCGCGATAACTGCTTAACCGATGATAATAAAATTAATGGGGACATAAACGTAGCTTAATTGTTTCTTGTTTTATTCCATTATTGTTTTTCAACAGTTGTTCTTGATTAATGTTTGACATTTCATTTGACCTCTCAATCTAATCAGTGTTATTTATTTTCCTAAACTTTTCCTGTGATCTCATCCTCATATTACGCATTTGTGATGTCCTATCGGGTTCGTACAATATGTAAACATTGTTTGTAATGCATACTGCACACGCCCCTTCTCATTGACTCACATTTGATGGACAAACATGCTTAGAAATGCCGTTTATTTGTCAAACAATCGTTTCTTGGACATCCTTTGTATTAGAAAGATTTCTTTGTGAACATTGCGCTGGATCAGTGTTTAGAGTCACGAGTTATCTACGTTCTAAACTTTGGTCTATATTATAGGTCAATTGGCAATGACTTAGCATTAGTCTTTATCACTTAATTGCAATGAAAAGTGCTTTGAACTAATCTATAGTTATTGGTACGTATAGTAATTTGTTTGATCAAGTTGTTGTTGATATTTTTCTATGTTTATTTGTTTAAAAGTGTAATTAATCATTGAATTTACTATCGGCCATCGTCGACCTTGATAAGAGGTTAAGGTTTCCATTAAATGAAGTGAAGGAAATATTCCATGGTCAATTTAGTTACACTATTTATTGTAACGCACACAATAAAAAATATTTCCTCGCAGGTGTATAATAGTAAAAGTTATGTAGTTGCAAAATTACCTTTTTCAGCATAGTCTTGATTCAATTGTTATTTTTCAAATCCATCGTATTTTATCTTGATTTGTAAAATCCTTTTGATATAATTAAAAGTGCATGTAGTCAATTAATATACATTTACAAATCGTATCTCGAACTGCGTTCGTAATCTATACGTAATTTCTCTTTATTACCCCAAAACATGCCCTTATCTATTTCCTATGACCTTACATTACCCAATGGCTACACAAACATCGTACGACCTTCCTCTACGCCCAATCCAACAGTCCATTAAATAGTTTATCAAAAATCCGAAGCGATGCGTAGCAATGTAGATAAAAAACAATTGCATAATGTCGATTGAAGCTAAACTTACTGCGTAGTGACCCAGGGTGAAGTGTTGACCATAAAGAGTGTGGTTTTTAAAAAATCATCTCTATGTTTTTTTTTACCTTTTTTACTTTTTTGTACTTAGTATATCACTCGTACTTTTAAAACGAATCCAACGATATCATACAAGTTTCAATCGACCAAGACTTTTGAACTGTAGAAAAGAACAAAGAAACATATTCATATACATACCTACATACATTTAATTGTTATTAATATTGTAAGTATATACCTTTACACATAGTTTAATTATAATGGTTACAATTGTCAAAAAATAAAAATTTGTTCGGAGTATACAATAAGCGGTCATATCGCATATTGATCTAGATGGACAGGAACTGACAGCACAGCTTAGTAGGTATGTATATGTTGCAACCAACTGGTTGAAATAGCCGTTAAATCAACAAGCTACCCTTTGAAATCACTACAATGAAAGTTACAATTTATGGCGATCTATCTAACCTCACCTAACCTACCATTCTGGAAGCTACTCAGTGTTCGTGACAATCCTCCCATCAACTTACAGCCTTTTTTTTTTGTGGGAGGCGGCGAACCTCCTTGCCGGATCACCGCCGTGGCATCTAGAAGCGAAGGCGCTCGCGCGCGTCTACAGTTTGCGCGCAGACGCGCGTCGCCGGGGCGAAGATCTTCTGCCGCGCCAAATTAGTGCGTGGCGGAATGAGCTTCGGCGAGATCTCATGGCAGAGTGGAAACAACGACTGTCGCAACCGAGGGCCGGGCACGCTACCATAGCAGCGGTAAGACCCCTCTTTGAGGAGTGGCTTGAGAGACGCCACGGCGTCCTCACCTTCCGTCTGACGCAGGTGCTTACCGGGCACGGCAGCTTCGGTAGGTCTCGGATTCAGCGGGAGGAAACGCCCGAGTGTCGTCATTGTGAGGACCACCTAGAGGATACGGTGGAGCATACGGTAGCGGTATGCCCTGCCTGGGCTGAGCACCGCCGTATCCTCAGGGAAGTGATCGGCGGCGGCGACCTCTCGCGCCCGGCCTTAGTCGAGGCCATGGTGCGGAGTGAGAGGAACTGGGACGCCGTCTCCTCCTTTTGTGAAGCGGTCATGCTCGCAAAGAGAGAAGCGGCCCGCGTGAGGGAGCAATCCTCCTCACGCCCCAGCAGCCGCAACTGGCGACACTACGGGCGTCGGGGATCAAGGGGACGATCTCCGGCCACCGTAAGCACGCGCCTGCGGTCGGCGAGTAAGGGCAGCTCGCCGCCCGACCAGAACCAGGCCCGAGCGTACGGCGCGTAGCGTTCCGCGCGCGCCTCAAAGAGCCATTCGACCACCACAGACGGGCCCTAAAGGGCTGATGTTCAGCCGGGGTTGCGGGGTAAGCGCAATGAGGTACCGCGACCTCGGCACAGAGCAGGAGAAGGAACAGGGGGGTTTTTAGTCAGTAAGAGTCTGACACTCCCTCCTGCCCAGCCCTGGGCGGGAGAAGCCATTTGATGATTTTCCCCTCACAAAAAAAAACTCGGGGAAAATCATCAAATGACTACTCCCGCCCGAGAGAGAGAAAGTGTCAGACTCTTACTGACTAAAACCCCCCCCGTTCCTTCTCCTGGTCTGGGCCGAGGCCGCGATGACTCATTGCGCTTAACTCGCAACTTCAACTTACAGCCTGAATGAGAAATTTAGCAATTCAATGAAAGACTAGTCTCTCAGACCGTTAGATGGATGACTAATTCAACTATTTAGCTGCGATGTGATAACATAACCCTCCTTTTGGCAGTCAGCTAAAAATCCAAAGCGATCCGTAGTATTGGACAAAGATAAAGCAATTGCATAACATCAAATGAAGCTTCACTAACTGCGCAGTGACCCAGGATGGAGTAATGACTATGATTTTTTTATCGTACTATGTCGGTTTGGTTTCCAGAAAGGGTAATATCTAGATAAGGGTCACTTCCTCAGTGACTCACCGGTTGTACTACGCGTTAAATAATTAGGTATGTGACTAATCTCTATGTCGATTGTCGTATGTTGAATTTCCCGAGTTGTTGTGGCTTGTATGGTGTGTCTTTAAGGTTTTTGTTACGTAATTATGTTGCTATGTTATGTTTATTTTGATGGCGTGGTGTGGACTATTTAATATAAAGGCCTTGACGTCTAGGCACTATATCGCTATCGTCCTAGTAAAAATAGTATTATTTTTTAACCATTCATAAAGAATTTATTTCAACATCCAATTTAAAGTACCCGACTAAATAATGTGGTTCATACAAATTACGTAAAAATTCAAATTTATCTAACACACATTGTTAGATAAATTTGAATTTTTACGTAATTTGTATGAACCACATTAAATAGGCCTCATTATCGAACAGGTAAGTAGAATTATTACAAAAGAAGGTTATATACAAATTAGCAATTAATAAATTGATAGTATTGATAAAAGCTGGCTAAAACTAGTTGCCATTAGAAACGATATAATTAAGTTAATCGCGTCCAAACGAATATTTATTTTGTATATTAATAATGTATTGTAGAGCAATCAACTGGGTTAACGGATGTATTAATACAATTGTTAGATATCATGCCAATGATAACGTATATAACTTTGTGTATATACTACTTATTTACTTACTATTTTAAATTAATCTCTTTGAAAATATCTTTTAAAGTAAGTCTTTTACTATTAAAAAGCGAAATGCTTTTAATATTTGCTTACATTTTTTTTTATGTGATAGGACGGCAAGCGAGCAGACGGATTACCTGATGGTATGCAATCGGCGTCGCCCATGGACACCCGCAACAAAGAAGGAGTTACGAGTGCGTTGCCGTCCTTTTAAGGATTGGGATTTTGGGATTGGGGTAGGGGAAGGATTGGGCCTCCGGTAACCTCACTCACACGGCGAAACACAACGTTGTAGTTGTTTCACGCCGGTTTTCTGTGAGGCCGTGGTATCACTCCGGCCGAGCCGACCCATTCGTGCCGAAGCATGGCTCTCCCCCACTCAAAGCATTTCTAGAAAACTCTATTATTGTGCTAAAGGGATTTAGGTGAACTTCAAACAGGGTTCGTAAGATTGAATTATAGACAATGTACGATAGTGGTGTCTCAAGCGAGAATATATGGGGAGGTCGCTAAAACATAAAAAGTGCCATAAGCATACTAAAAAGGGACACATTGAAAAAAGAATCCTCAAACGTGAAAAGAAATTGTGACTAAGTGGATACACATCAAATCATCAGCTTATAAGTGCCCAATGCTGAGAAAGGCTCTTTTCTCACATGGAGAAGGTTTGCACATTAATCACTACATTTGCATAAGATAGATTGGTACAAGTACAGGTTTCTTTACGATGTTTTCTTCCACCGTTTGTCCGTGGTGTCTTAATAACCATAGAAAGTACATATAACTCGGAAAAAGTTACATTGGTACTTGCCAGGTTGCATAACCGCTCCCTCATGCATGAGATGCCTTTACCTGCGGCCCACCAACACCAAGTAGATACAGATATGACAATATGTACACAACGCCGTGAAAGT